TTCTCATTAACACCTCCCGCCATTCTAATCTTTCTAATTATTGGTACCTTCTTAATGATGAGTTATCGCTCACAATTACAATTAATGACTTTCTATTCTTCTAATTAAATAGTCTTTTAGCAAGATGGGAGAATGGCCTGGCACAAGGCGGGTATAGAAGAAGGGCACAGTTATCCTCTTAACCATTGCAGACCCTGGTGTAAACGGCTGTTTGATGCTATCGTTTATTTTTTTGGGGTGGTTTGGACAATGTTTTTGGATAATGAAAGCAGGTAGTATTTACAAAGATTATGCTTCAATTCCTTATGTGGTTTTAAAGTGGAATGATAACTGTCTCCCTAAATAAACCAAAAATGTGAGTTTGAGAAAGTTTTGGAAATTGTTAATACATTGCTAAATATTGCATGAAATAACAGAAGGGATTTTAAAAGCAACAACTGCTGCTCTGTTCCTGTTTGCTGACTGACGTGGCAAATAAGAGTATTCTTAGACATTACCAAATATGCTTCTGGATGCCTCTCATTTGGAAGATTAAGTGCAAGATTAAAAGGACACTGCAGAACCCTAAATCACTTTAGATTGCTAAGGTACTTTATGTGTGAAGAGTGTACTGCTTTTACAAAAAGTGCATATTTTAATAGAAATGGTAAATTTTATAAATTAACCTGGTTACACCTCTTTGACTGTCAATCAGACAACTGGTCCTGTTACTTCCTGGTTTGTTTAGCTCAGTGGAAATAAACTTAAGAGGCAGTAATTGTCCAGAGCACCTGCCTTGCAAAGACTTCTCATTGAGCTGCATCGGGAAGTCTGTGATTGGACAGCCACAGAAAGTCTGGGCGGGGTTAGAAGGGGAGGGCTATTGCAAGTCATGATTTTATATACCTGCAAAGAAGTCAATCAAATTACATGCATATTTTCTTTGGTGGCTATAGCTATTAAATTGCTATTTTTTTTTTTTTTATGAGGCAGTCCTTTACTTATAATGATGTTTCATAGGCTGGCCATTGAATTCCACTGTCACCCTACTTCCATGGATTTTGTGCGTACCCAAACTGCGTCACTCATGTATGCACTCACAGAATGTATTTTTTGACCGGAAATGATGCATTCTTGGTTGTTTTTTTATTTTTATTAAAAATCCAATCATAAGGGATATTTATGTTTATTCTTTAACCTAAAATATTAATTTCCTCAACTTTTTTAACTTACTTTCTTAAACTTTGTAAAAAAAAAAAAAGATACACACAATGCACTTTGTTACAGTAGTGATAAACAAGTCTGTGTAATTTTCATGATCTGTATTGTCAACAGACAATGATAAAACCCAGATCTGACAGTGAGGGCACCCAGAGGTCTAAATTGGCTCAGGGAGAAGGATTTAGCCATAGTGCACCCCTGATTTTGGGTGTAATGTCACTCCATTTGTTGGCTCAGCAGTCCGTAGTCTGTCTGTGTGTAATGCAATGTAAAGATCTCATATCTTGTTATTTATTATGAATTTAGCATTGTTTGTATGTGGGTGCAAATCATGTATCGGATCTTGGGAAACTGTATTGTTTGACGCTATGTCTATCTGTATCTCAGTGTCTAATTGGAGGTGAATCAGCACACGAGGCGTTTGCCAGTTATTGATCCAACGTTTAGATGGATTACGAAATCTGTGAGCTGTCTCGGGAATCCTCGCTCTCATATTTCACTGCAACCTGACTCATCAATTGCATCAGGGAGATGTATAAAAGTGTCACAGAAAGCCCAGGTCAAGTTCTGAAAGTGAAGCAGTCACCATGGAAATGAGTGGAAACAACAGGAAAATTCTACTGGTTTCCATGGTGATTGTGAATACTAAACTTTGAAGTTAGTATCAGTCCAAACTGCAATTCATCCAAATTGTCTCGTCGTGCACAACTCTAGTGACTACTTTAAGAGCATTTGCACCATTTTTCTGTTAGCAAGATTTGAATCTTTTCATTTTGAGTTCCCTTGTTGATAGTTATTATGGACATACGGAGTGGCCACCGTCCTCCGCCAGATTGGGTCAATATTAGTAATTGGTAGAGTACAGAGACGGCGTCATGACAAGTCTCTTTATAGACACATCACAGATGTAATATAGGGATTAATCCGTGGCAAAAGCCAGCTCTCTGCTCACTGCCATGAGTTAATATGTACTTGGAAGGTTTCAGAAATGCAAGTCGTCTTCATTCCAACTTACTTAGCTGCCAAACCTTTCAAGTCTATCAGTAAGTGTCATGATGGGGCTGGCGGCCTGAGCCAAGGAGACCTGGACAGCCACCATAATGCTCTGTCTCTCAAATAATGTCAGTGTATGTTCTGCAAGCCCACTAACAGGAAACAGCAGCCAAAAAAAGAAATGAATCAATGATAATACTGATAGTGTGTATAATGTGCATTCTCTTTATATTTACATTGTTTCATCTCATGATTCTCTCTCATTTCCTTTAAGCACACGTTGCACATCTTTCCCTTTTTCCTCTCTCTGATATTTTTCTCTCCTTTCCTCGGATATCGTCAGTGCCAGCCTGGGGCTGATCACAAGGTTTTGCCAATTGTTTGGCTGGCACAGCGCCACATGGGGTCTGCAGCCTTCGAAGTGCCCTACTCTTCCTCCTTAAATCTGCTCTCCTGCTTCTCCAGCTTCTCACAGCTTCCTCGGCTGGAGGTTCAGTCTGAGTTTTGCCAGGTTCCCCCAGGAGTCATTTTTTAATGAATTTATTCCTGTCTTTGATGTGATTCCCTGCATCGTGTGAGTCATGCAGTAGAAAGATGCTGATTTAATAGACTTTGCTTCCTCAAATTCATCCTCTCCCCATCGTTCATATAAAAACTTTCTTCCGCTCCTTCACTTACTCCATATCAGGGGAAAACTTAGAATAGGTGATGTTTATAAGCCCTAATGACTACAAAACGATTAGCATATACTTTATGCCCTAATACCCTCTAGGCAGGATAAGAGTTTTCTTTA